ACACTTTCCTTTGATTTCTTGATAGCGAGGTCCTTCCAGTTAAGCTCTACCAACGAGGGGCGCAAAACTAAGAGGAACATATCTTTTTCTGTTGTTATAACTTTATCTCTGTGATAAACTTTGGTTAAAAATGAGGACTTTTTTGTCTTTTTCGGCCAAACAAGCCTGGATTTGAATTGAGGGCATCAGCAACTGGTTGTGGGTCTTGAGCAGGTAGCTTTATCTCGAGCCAAGGTGGTGGGTGGAGATACCAAACGTGATGGACGGTGGTGGGGGTCAGGGGTGATACAGGCTGGCACACGGCAGCTGGCCACGGGCACTGACCTCCTACTGCCTTTTCTCAAAAGCCTCCTTCAGCCTTCTGCGTGAAAGCCCAGAATCACCTAACATCAATTTCTTTCTTTTTTTTTTTTTTTCAAAATAACCCGTTCTATACATTTTCTTAACCAAGTGATTTCCGGCTTAGTTTCGTGTTTATATGTATGTCTGCACACACGTGCGTGTTATTCCAAAGGGTTTTTTAAAATCATGTACATGTTCCTTTTGAGGAATTCATATTTATGGGAGTTATATTTTTCACATATATATATATATTTTGTTCCAATAAGACTTTATCTATGAACACCGAATTTCATATAATTATTCTTTCTTTAGATTTTTTTATACTGGAAGAACATTCCTGGCTTTTTAATATTAATTTTTAATGAGTAGAGTTTTAATGAATGGAATTTATATTTTATGTTTTATTTATAAATACATTTATATTTTGTGTTTTAGATTTTAAAAAATTGAACCAATAATATAGAGTTTGCATACCATTTCCCCTTATTAATATGTATTCGTGTGGCGTGTTTACTATAACTATTGGGCCAATACCGATACATTATTATTAACCGAAGTCCATAGTTTTTTTGGATTTCCTTAGTTTTTACCTATTATCTCTTCTCTGTTCCAGGATCACATCCAGGATACCACTGTATTTAAAAAAAGAAACTTTTTACATCTTTATCTTTATCTACTTCTTTATTCTCTCCTGACAGGTATACAACATGTTTCAGCACCAGAGCCTTGGAATTAAAGTAAACATTCAGGTCACCAGGCTGGTCCTCCTCCGGCATCGTCCTGTAAGTCCCCGTTGGTCCCGTCGGCGCCCTTCACGCAGGAAAGGGGCCTGGTCTCGATGCTTCCCGGCTGCCGTTGGCCGCTAAGGAGGATCGGGGGGGTTGTGTGTCTGCTCCGCGCTCTCTGGCTTTGCAGATGGTGACAGTGAGCCCTGGGCCGGGGGCTGGGAATGTCCGGTGAGAGTGGTCGTTACTAGAAGTGCACGCAACCTGCTCAGTCCCAAGGGGGCCCTAGCAACGGGCTCGCGGGCGTCCCTCCGTCACTAGGCATGTCTCACCTGTGCTAAGGCCCGGTGGCGAGGTCTTTGGGACCGCGGCCGCCCTCCTGGACCTATGCTTGAGCGTCAGCCCAAATGTGGAGTCACCATAGCTTTGTTCTCTGATCTTTTGATCAACAACATTACCTGCAGAGTCCGGCAGTGCACGTGACAAAGAGGGACCGGTGGGTGCTTGGTTGGGTACACTGTATTTATTTTGCCAGAAAAGAAAAACACTTTAATAGCATAGTCTTCATTCGAGCTTGTAAGTAGGTCCCTGGCGGTCTCTGTCTGGTGTCTGCATCTGCCCACCAGTGTCGGGTCTGTATCTGGGGCGGGGGCTGGGGTGGCATCACTGAACACTGTCCCAGCGAGCAGCCATCTCCATCCCCACACTGTGGTCGGGGCGGGAACTGTGGCTCCCCTGGGCCTTCCCTTCTCTAAATGCCCCCCCATTTCTTTTAGGCCAAGTTGTCCATTGGGCACCACGGCGAGCGGTCCCTGGAGAGCTTCTGTCACTGGCAGAACGAGGAATATGGAGGCGCGCGTTACCTCGGCAACAATCAGGTCCCGGGAGGGAAGGACGACACGCCCCCCGTGGACGCCGCCGTGTTCGTCACCAGGTAGAGCCGGTTCTCCTGCCGCTGAAAACCGGGGAGGGAGGGCCGGTTCCCACTGGAGCCGGAGGAAGGCAGTTTCCCAGGAGTCCGGGCTTGGCCATCAGACCTCGAGCCACCTGTTCTAGGCCCCCCCTTTCCCTTCAGGGCGGCCGTGGGACGGGAGAGCACCCCTCGCCCGTCAGCCGACAGGGCTGGCTTTCTCCAGGGCGGTGGCCACTGCTGCCCGTGAACCAGGCCCCGTCCCTGGTTCCGTTCTCTGCTGTTGGACCGAAGCTATGTGCCCTTTCTCCCTCCGCCCAGGCGAGGCAGTGGGTAAAGCTTTCAACACGTTCATTTGCTCATTGTGGGAAAGCCTGGGACGAGGTCTTAGGCCAGCCTGGTCTTTGTGTCAGAGAGAGAGAGAGAGAGAGGGAGACAGAGAGAGAGAGAGAGAGAGAGAGGGATCCCTATTTTTGTGTTTCGTTTCTTCTCTGCCAAGTGCTTCTTCCTTGCCACCCTCTACTGCCCGTCAGTCTTCTAAAAGTTTGTCTTTGACAGAAAAATCAAATCCCGAGGTGTCCTTTTCCAGCCCCTAATGGTTATTCCCACGGACGTTCCCTTGGTTTTGGAATGGGTTATAAAAAGCGGGAGTCTGGAAGTCTTTCTTTCTCCCTTTGTTAAAATAGTTTTTAAAATCGATTACCAAACGTATCTTTGTCTGTTATGGAAAAATTAGAAACTCGAAGTAAGCAAAACCCGTGTGAGCTGCCGACGGGATTGGCCCCGGCTCCCGCTCACCGTCGCCCCGGCCAGTTTTGGGCCCACACCTGCGAAGCTGTCACACCCAGCCGGGCTGCCCTCTCCCGTGGGTCCGCAGGATGTCCGGGGCGCCTGGCAGGACGCATCGGGCCTGAGGCAGCGGGCCTGGCCCAGGGAGTTCTGTGCACCAGAACCGCCAGTTGAATCTCGGAAACCTCGAGCTCCGGCATCTCTGGGTCTGAGCGGGCGGGTGGCGTCTGTGACAGCCCGCAGGCGAGAGCGGAGCGAAGGCAGGGCTCCCACACGTGAGCGTCCACGCCGCGCCGGGAGGCGTCAGAGGGGGCGCGTTTTGGAGTCAGATACAGGAGAACGTGTCGCGCATTGGAGGAGAGGGGGCGGGAGAGGTGGCTGAGAAAGTTAGGGAGGTCACTTAGCTGCCGTCCCTGTCATTGTATCCCGTGTGGATGGCGGTCACGTCCTTCCCCGAGAGTACATCCCGACAGAGGGCAGGGGAGGAGCGGAGGACACTGGGTGAGTGACGGGGTGTCAGGAAGAGGAAGGGGTCACGCTGATGGGGGGAAGGCGCGGTACGGCCCAGCCGGGACCCGCCTGTTGGTTTCACAGTTTAGCTCCATCGCCACCTCGTTGGGCCAGGCCCACCGTCCGTTCCAGATGATTTTTAAAGAGTAAAATGAGACAAAGTGGCTTCAGAACACACCTTTCAAAGCCAACGCCGTGCTCAAGTGTGTTCAGAGAACTGCAGGCACGTGACCGGTTGCGTCCCCCCAGCGTCCCCAGACCCCGTGAGCAGACGCACGGGCGCCCCGCTCAGCTCCCGACCGTGGGAACTCAGGGAGGGGGTCGTGGGAGCGCTCTGGCTTTGGAAAGGAAGGGCCCAGACCCCTTGGCCCTCGTACCTGCAGAGCTGGGCCTGGACCAGGTTTCAAGAATCTTCGATGTGTCCACAGCCACACACCCTGGGGGATCCTGGGAAGTTTTAAAGAATGTTTAGAAATGACTTCTTTCTTCTCGTCTCATATAAGTCATTCAGGGTCATCCCAGCATCTACAGCCAGTCGATGCCCAAGGAGAGTAGGTTGGGACAGTCATTACGCTCTGATGATATTGACCAGTAATCGTCTCTGATACACGACTTGGCAAAATCTTCTTCTGAGATGTTTTCAGCTGTTGGGAGGAGCCCTTCCAGCAGCTGAGTGTTTCGTATAGAGTAGTTTAGCTCTGAAAGGAGGGTCTTCCAGTTGGAACTGTGGGTGGGTCCCTCTTGGAAACTGAAGTAATCACATGGCTGCAGGCAGGGCGACTCATCAGAGTTAATAGACAGTATTTTCTCCTCCCATTCCTGGGGATCCTGCATACACCTGAACTATTTTTTTCTTTTTTTCCTTTTTAGGACAGATTTCTGCGTATACAAAGACGAACCGTGCGACACCGTTGGTAAGTTGAGAGTTGGAATAATAATATCAGGGGCTGATGTATAAATTGTGATCATTTCTGCATTTTCCGTTGCCTCTCTTCTTGCAAATTGAGTCTTTGACTTTATTCTACTTTTTTTTTTCCCCCCCCGGGAAGTTTTGAGGTTGCTTATGGCAGAAGGCATATAACCAAAGGAATATATAGGAAGTTGAACCAGAGGAGGGGCCACTGGGCTGCCCCAAGGTGACCGTAGTTGGGAGCAGGCTCGGTTCTGAGCCTCCTGGTCACCAGTGCAGGAGAGGAGACCCCACTGAGCTACGCGATCGCCCTGAGACAGCAGCTCACCAGTTTCCCTTCGTGCACGTGGGTCTTTACCAAGCATCTCAGGGGAAGCGCGACTCTGGTTGCGAGACTGGTCCCCTGCACCAGCCTCGGCACCAAGTTCGTTGTTTTCTGATCAGGTGGCGAAGCTGCCGCCAGCACTGAGTACTGGAAAAACACATTTTCCTTCTTCCTCGCCCCTCCCTCCTCCAGCTTCCCCTCCCCACATTTCCCTTACCTCGCTATTTTTCTCTTCTCTCCCCGGTCGTATCTGGCTTGCCCTTGACATCTCGTAGGTTTCATATTTCCTTCCCGTGCGGGAATAGACCGCTTGGTTAACAGAACAGTCACCTCGAGGGTGTCCGATTTTGTCTGCAGTCGCACACGCCTTTATTCGCCGAGGGGTCGAAATGCTACACCGCCAAACACAGAACGCTGAATCTGATTGTGCTTAGAATGATAGGAAAACAGGATAGGACTGGAAAATAGATGTTACTGTGGAATCCAGATGTTCGAAACCTGTGCTTCCCATGGAGTCCTAGCGGGGTGTGATCTCGAGCTTTGACTTCGGCTGTGCCACTTACACAAGCCTCTGGCCTTGGGTACATCTTCATAATCCATAAAATGGTCGCTTTGGACGAGGGGGCTTGTAAGACCCTTCAGAATCTAGTAGAACGCTAACTAACATGTCAAGTTTAGAGTTTACAAAGGGTTTTTTTAATATATTACGTCAACTCTCTGAACAAATCTGAGAGTTAGGCATCAAAAACCAACCGATGAGCCTGTGCTTTGTATCCGGGGCTGTGCCCGTAATAGAATGACTAGACAAATGCGACGTGAGGGGTACAGCTGACACGCGGCCGGGCCTGGCTGCGGCTCTGGAAGGCTGGTTTATGCTGCTCTCTGCCCGTGGCCGACAGGGCTGGGGAGACACGTGCTCCCTGGAGGAGTGGCAGTTCCTGGGGCTCACAAGTCAGCTGGGACAGCCACCATACTGCTGTCCGAGGAGCCTCCCTCCCACCCTCCTCCTGCACCCTGAGCTCGCCGCTGTGGTGGCGCTGACCCCTCACTGTCCCTGGAAGACGCTGTACTACACGGAGCAGAACTCGTCTGTCATGTCCTTCAGCACCTGGCACGGAGCTCGAAGGCCCACTGACCACTGTTGATTGCTTGAATGAATGAATGAATGAATGAATGACTGCAGACGAAGGAATCCCCCCCGTGCTTCTGGACACCATGCACCTGATTGCACGGCTGCTTCTCACGTGATGTAGACCTGGCTCTGATTTTCTCTTCATTCAGAACTTTGGGCCCCGCCGTTAACTGTGGGTTTTGCCCTGCATTTCAGCTCACAGAAGAGACTACCCCCGAAATCCCATTTTTCCCCAAGAACCTGGTGTCCCGTGTCACCGCGGGGCCGTCGCGCCTTCCAGCTCTCAGACTGCTGACGGGCACTGTTTGCACGGCACTCGGCGCCTCTCCCTTTTCCCACGGTGCAGCAGGATTTTGTCCCATGAAAATGATTAGTGGTTTTTTTTTGTTTTTGAAAAGCCAATTGCACTCAGTGCTTCCTTCCCCAAATTCCTACTGCTTTTCTCTTGTTTGGTTTCATAATATCCAGATATTTTCTATTGTCTGCTGTCCCCCATGGTTACAAAATCAAACAGGACCAAACAGCCGTGTATGGGCTCTAGCGGGGACGTCCTGGGAGCAGCTGGACGGTCCGCCCCTCCCCACCTTGGCCGAGCGGCTGATTAGATGGAAAGGTTCCCAGAGAGACAGGGCGAGGGGACCAGCCGGAGCCCCCCGGGGCGTCCTCACGGGCTGGTCACAGCGCTTCCTTTGCCATGAGCCTCCAACTGCCAAGAGAAACAGAAGTTTTGAGATCAAGTGGAAACCCCCAGAGGTTTTCGTCTTGGAAAAAGAAAACTATTTCTTGGGCCAAGAAGTCCTTTTCTGCCACACCCAGCATCGCGTGTGAAAGGCGGAGGGAGTAATGAATGCAGGGACAGTGGCTAGGCTGCCGAGGGGGCAGGTCGCGGAGCCGAAGGAAGAGCTCCCGGAGCCTCTGGCCGTGCTCGCCAGCAGTGCGTGCCCTTGGCCTTGTTACCTTCACCACATCTGCGGGATCACGATGGGACTGTGGCCTGCCTGGTGGTGGTGTCGGGATTAATTAGGAGAACAAATAGATGTGAAGTGTTTGCATAGCACCTGCCCGCCATGGCCAATGGTGACTCCGATTTCTGTTAGCTCCTTCTAGCTGTTGTCTGGTCCGTGTTCCAGAAGGTGTCTGATGCAATTCCCGCCTGCTCTGCCTTGAAAATAAAGCTGACCCGTTAACACCACGAGCGTAAGGACGCTGACCCTCCTCACACAGTCAAACATCTGCGTGTAGCTTTTGACCTCGGGGGATTAGTTCCAGGATCCTGCGAACGTTAAAATCTGCAGATGCTCAAGTCTCATCTAGAAAATGGCATAGCATGCAGTTGGCCCTCCGTATGTGCTGTGGCTGACTGTGTATTTATTGAAAAAAATCCATGTATAAGTGGACTCACCCAGTTCAAACCCGTGTTGTTCAAGGGTCCATTGTATATTCTTTCCCAGACGGCTTTTAATCACACCTGTCATTCCTAGAGTCCAGGCCTCTGTCACCCTCCTCTGCCAGGCGCCCTGGCCTCACGGTGACCTGTCAAACACCTCATTCTTACCTGACTTTTAAAACATAAGTCAAACCACGTGAGTTTCCTGCTCAGAATCCTCCAGTGGCTTCCGGTAAAGTCCACAGACCCGCAGTCTCCGGAACGCGTGGCCCAAGGCTGTCTTACCGCCCTCAGTCCCTGGTGCTCATGCCCTCGCTCACCTGCACCAGCCACACTGGCCTCCACCTTGTCCCTCCCTTGCCAAGCTCGCCTTCGTGTCACAGTCTCACGCACTTGCTGTCCCCGGGCCTGGCACGCTCTCCTCCTGACATCCCTCTGGCACCCCCTCGCCTGTCCTTCAGGTCGCTGTTCCGATAGCATCGTCTCAGAGAGACAGCAGCCTCTGCACTTCCTTCTCAGCTGTCATTGGCCAGCATCGCATGCTCGTCCCTGTACTGCCAGCCTCTGCGGCACGAACGCAAACCCGTGAAGGCATTTCTTTGTCTTCGTGTCCTTGCTGTATTCCCAGCCCCGGCATGTGTCAGATGCTTGATGAGCATTTATGATACAACTGAATCAATGAACAAAACGAATCTGTTGAACAAGTACATTTGCAGCGGTGTTTGGACAGATTGAGGGCCCAGGGCCCACTGCTGGGAGTTTTTATGACTCTAGCTTACCATCTAAAAGAAAGACGACCAAGACGTGGTTCCATAGTGTAGCGGTGAGCACGTCCGCTTTACACGCCGAAGGTCCTGGGTTCGCGCCCCAATGGAGCCACGGTCCATGGTCTATGGCCATGACGCCCTGAACAAGCCCAATGTCTGATCTCGGAAGCTAAGCAGGGTCAGGCCTGGTTAGTTCTTGGATGGGAGACCACCTAGGTAAACCAGGTGCTGTAGGCATAAGTAATAATAAATAATACAAAAATAAAAGAAGGGTGACCACCGACGTGTTAATCTTCTGTACTTTTTAAAGTCATTTTATCTGCAGAGGGTCCAGGGGCTTCTGATTCAACCCATATGTATTATTTAGATACCGGATTTTTAAGAAACGAGATTACGCAGGGGGCCTTGGATGTGAAGGATGGTGGTGCAACAGTGAAGGGGACACAGGAAGTGGCTCTGCTGCCCATGAGACCTCAGGCAGTCGAATGACTATGCACGGCCTCGAATTTAGATTTTAAAATGCAAAAGAAAAACGGTGTCTTCGTAGAACCATTGGGAGGACGACGTGAGGTAAAGCCTGGGCAGGGTGTTCTCCCGCGTCGCCGGGAGCGGGCAGGGGACTTGATCAGGTTCGCAGTGAGAGGAAGGACCCAGTTCCGGTGCCTCTGAGTCCAGCACTTCCCGACGTCGCCCTCCATGGTTCGGATTTCCCAGAACAGGGAGGGAGGGGACAGCCGATGGAGCATCTGTCCCACTAGCGTGTTCTGATTCAGAAGGAAATGGGCTGGATGGGTGAAGCGTGTAGCCTCTCTGCGTGACTTGACGTTGGCGTAGGAATACCAGATTGTTCGTCCCGTGTCTGGCACGTGGCACTGTGTCCGTCTGCCCCACGCTGCCGAAACTCATAGATGTGTCCACACTCAGCCCTTGAACATCATCTCTGCCTCTGGGCAGACGATGCGGGTTGCAGGAGCTGAGGGGAGGGCTGCAGAGGAGAAGCCGAGCATCCCACGCTGACCGTCCTGCAGACGGGAGCCCCACCTGGAGAGACCGTCTCCCTGGGCTCGTTTAGGGGCTGCGTTGGCTCCGTTGAGGGAGGTTTTGCCTTCTGAGATTTGTAACAAAATTTGGAACTGCCTTCTGGCCAGGTGTCCCCGGCCCAACCCGATTTTTTCTGCCTCTTTTATTCTGAGCATAAATTTCTTTATCACTTCAGCTGAAGGAAAATAAGTTTCGACTCTTAAGACGATCCAAGCGGGGCGAAGGTCTCCTCAATTCATTTTTGTTAATCTGTTAAATTCAGGAGTAATAACATAAGTGAAACGAAGGTTCAAGAATTAGATGCGAAGACTCAGAAAGGAGAATGATGCCAAACGTTTCTTCTATATCTGTG